GAAAGATCATAGACGGCAGGCGCTCGATGAGCGTGCACGCCGAGCGAAGGAACCTGCAAGTTGACGGGGGATTCTCGTGCTAGGGCTGCCGCTCCCGTTGCTGACGGCAGCCCTTCCCCTGAGGCCAGGGGGTGAACAACTCGTTGCGGTATCCACTTCTGCGCGAGCCCCTCCGTTTGGCAAAAGTTCATCTTCCTCTTCATGAAATGGCCAAGGACCCGATGTCGTAGCAACGCCTCCAGTGGAACCGCCCATCCGTGTCTGCGATGCCTCCGTCGCCCCTTTGCGCTTCGGATGCAAGCAAGCTCTGCCGTATTTGCGTGCTGGTGGCTTGTGCTGGAGCCTGCGGTCAGTTTCGTCTTCGATCCCAGAGGATAACATGCCTTCAGCAGCTGAACCCAATACTTCAAGTCCGTCAGCATCGAGATCAAGGTCAGCAGGTACAGGTGCCTCGGCTGCATCTGTGAAACATGCTTGAACCTGCGACCTGTGGAGATTCGACGATGAGTACTGCAGCTTCAGCCTGTTGGTTAGGTGGTTGAGCTGAGCTTAGGACGTCGCGGTGTGCTGCCTAACCTGACGCCCTGAGCTCCGATGCCCCTCTAGCGCTCCATTGGGCAATTCTACAGCAGTAGCCTCCAATTCCTCCTCATATCGGTACAATGCAGCCTTGCGTGCAAGACTGTCAGCATCTGCCTCGAGCTGCACAGCGTCGTCAAGTTCCTCGCGCGCGCGCCCTCGGGCAATCATGTCCAACTCCCATGCAAATTCTTGTTCAAATGCATCGGCCGCCAAAAGCTGCTGACTCGTGGTGGCAGCGTCTGCCGAGTCGAGCGTCGATGCCCGTGGAACGTCTCCCGTGTGTTGTGTTGTAGGTCCCTCAGCCTCTGGTTTGTGCAATGTCAGCGCGGGTGAAATTCCGACCGACGAGCCCGATGACCAACCTCCAATGACAGGATCACGCACCAGACCCAGCCAATTACTTTGACCTTGTAAGTCTGGAGCTCGAAGGTGAGGAACTGGTGCAAGTGGCGGCGGAGACGATGGAATTGGGCCTGGTACTGGTCCAGGTACAAACGGATCAGCAACAGCAAGGGCCTCACATTCTCTCTGCTTGTGGACCCAATCCTCGAACTCCTGAAGCCCGCTCTCGGTTTCCAGCCTGTCGACGCGCTCAGCGTGGTCCTTGAGATCCAGCATGCCGCCCACCGCTCGTGAAATTGTAGCTGTGGAATATGGCGCCCGAGTGCGAGCCACTGGGGCCTACGGGTGCCGTCCCGCCCTGTGTCCGTCATGCTCAACTTGCGCCTGGGCTTCTTGTTCCGCTTGGCGGTGCAGTTCCTCTTCGAACTTAGCCCCCGCCCTTGCCGAGGCGCTGCCCGCTGGAACCTTTGGAGACGCATGGCCGATGCATATTGAGTTCGTCTGCCGCTGCTTGCCGACCCCGCCGCTGTGGCCCATGGCATACGCTGCTTTCCTTTGTCTTCTCGATCTGCGCCAACTCCGCCCCCAAGAACTGGCGTCTAGCTTCTGCTTCCTGGGCTGCCGGCGCAGAGCGTGCACGATCCGCTGCAACTTGGGAACCATGCTCAGCTAGCTCCATTCATTTCGCTGTGTAATCGGCATCATGAGCTTGCTTGAGTGGCCAAGCGCGTGGACTCCGATCTGCCTTGCCTCCGTGTGCCAACTCCCAAGAAGCCATCCTGTTCCGCTTTTAGTGCCCCTTGTTTGTCCGCGCCCATCTTCTCAACAAGCCTTTCCTCAGCCCTTGACAACGTCGGTTCCTTCTGGCGAAGTTCCGCGTTGAGCACCTGTTGTGATAACTCGGACTGCGTGCGCTGTTGTCGTAGCTGGTCGTCTTGCTGGCGTCGCTGAGGTAGCAGCTCCTGAGACACCTCTTGATGGGCACGACGTAGTTTGACATACTATTCCTCAGTATTGCCCTGTGTGGCCGACAGTAAGGCCTCCGCGCGCTCTGACGCCTCCAGTCGCCAAAAAAGCCCATCTCCTCCTCCATGCGCTTGTTCTGCTGCTGCATCTCCGTCGAGAACATGTTCATCATGGCTGCGATGCGTTCAGTGTATCTGTTCTGCTCAACACGCATGAGTTCCTTGGCCTCCTCAGCGTCGTGCTTACCTTTTCCTGTGCCAGGGCTGCTCCGAATCGTGGAAAGGGGTATCTGCTGGGAGCAACCTGCCCCTGGCTTGCATACCTGATCACGTTTCATGCTGAGGTGGCGCCTGAGACGCAGCCCTTGGCGTCGAGGACAGCGCCATCGCTGGCGGAGCCCGAGGCGGGGAGCTCGCTGGCTGCCTCTGTAGCTGGTCTCCATATCTGTCAAATACTGCCACCGCCATTTCCTCCGCGATCAATGCTGCTGCTGCTACCGAACTCTGCTGGTGTGGTGACCCCTGCGGTGAAGCTGCTGGTGACTGACGCATACCTCGAACTCCATCTTAGTGCGGATTCTGAACTCCAAGCTGCTGTACAATGCCAGGTCCTGAAATCGGCGGCCCTTGGGATGCAGCTTGGCACTGAAGATGCCGACCATCAACAATCGGTGTCCTCTTCTGATATGTTGGTGGCGGTGGTGGCGGTGGTGGCGGCGGTTCCTCGCTGCCGCTGCTCTTTGCTCTTGCCCTCGCTGCCAGGTTGAGCCGCCAATCATAACCTGAATATGCGTCGACCGTCTCCGAGCTGATGTCCTGCTGTTCCTCGGTCGCCTCCCTAAATGGATCCTTGCAATGATCATGCAACGTCTCCTGGAACAATGTGTCATCCGATAACACCTCCATCTTGCGGTCGAGAGCGCCGATACGCTCCCCTGCCTGTGTCATGCCTGTTTTGGCTTCTGCCCTCTGGACTGCGATGGGCTTGAGCGGCCGGTGCATCCACTTCAGTACGCTCAACTCGTGCTCCTGCGCGCCTATGTAGGTACCCGCCTTTTTCCCTTGCACTAATGATTCTGCAAGCCTTTGCATATTGTCTTCCACTGTTGCTTTGAGCTGCTCCATCACTCTGGGTCCAGGCGGTTTTTTTAACCTGAATACTTTTGGGCGTACTCTGCCGTGCTCATCGTGTCGGTAATTCAGCGTCGACTGAACCTCTGACCTGAAAGATGTTCGATCTCGTTCCCGTCAACGGTCGTCAGCTTGTCGCTGCAGGTGCTTCCTCCATGTCATTGCGCATCTCCTCCATGTACCTGAAACGTCCCTTGTGTTGCCCTTGCAGCTCCACGTGCCCTGTCCGTTCGATGTCTGGCACTGGATGCGCGTCCACGCTCCTGTAGATCTCCCCGTCATCGTCGACGCCGATGTCGGACCCTCGCTCGATCCAGCCGAAGGAGAAGACGCGCCTCTGCTCGCAGTCGTCGCTGTCGCTTGTGCCAGGCGGGTGACCGACGCCGCTTGGGCGTAGTTGCGGGCGACGCCGCAGCCTGCAGCACGCCGAGTGCCGCACCTCCTGTGGCCGCGGGCGAGGCCGCCGCGCTGAGCCCCGACCTTGCAGGCGGGCCCGATGGAGCGGCGCGGCGCGCGCCCCCGCCGCGGACGGCCCCCCCCGCGTACGAGAGGTCACGGCTTCCTCCTCCTCCTCCTCCTCCTCCTCCTCCTCCTCCTCCTCCTCTTCCTCCTCCTCCTCCTCCCCCTTTTCCTCCTCCTCCTTCTCCTCCTCCTCCTCCTCCTCCTCCTCCTCCTCCTCCTCCTCCTCCTCCTTCCCCCCATCCGACTTATGGCGGTGGCGGTGGAAAACAGGCCATCAATTTCTGGAGCTCCCCACATGGGGAATTTCGGGAGCCCTGAACCCCAACACGCTTTCATCTCTTGGGCGCGCACGTATTACTTCCGCCGCCTTCCGCCGAGCTCCCGCTGTCGGAGGCGGCCCCTTTTTACTTCCGCCGACCTTCCGCCGCCCTTCCGCTGCGGAAGAGATCCTCGGAAGCAAGGCCCTGCTTGGAACGCGTCACATAATTACTGGCAGTGGCTGGGATCAGATGGCGAGTAAGTACCGGCCGATCGACCTCCTGAGGGGGATCGTTCGGGGGGCACTGGCACAGGGGGGAAACGTCGATCTGGAGTCGGCGATGCATCGCCGATAGATCGGCCACGGGCCCCCGACAACGAATCCAGACACTGGGCGGGGGGATAGGAGCGATTAGGAGTCGATGCGCCCCCCCCCCCCCCTGAGCCCATACCCCCCCACGTTGCCCCTGGCTTCCAGGTCATAACTCGGCTCTCTGGCGGCTGTTCGGGGCGATCCGGGCAACCCCGCAACGCTCTCAGCGAGGCGCAACCGCTGGAAGGCATCCCGAGGCTGGAAAATCGCCCCGAGCCGACGAAAACGTTCGACCCCCCCGCTTCTCTGAGCGAAGCCCCTTCCCAACGCGTGCGCTTGAGTCACCCCCCCCCAAGCCTATCCCTCCCTACGGTCGGGAACTTCTGTTTGGCGCGTCGCCCTGGCGGCCCCGGAGCGACACGATGTGCCCTGCGAGCGGAGAGCGTGTCGCTCCGCTCCGCGGGGCGGGAGGCGGGAGGCTGGGAAAAACTCCTCCTCCTGCTCCTCCTCCTCCTCCTCCACCTCCTCCTCCTCCTCCTCGGCATCCTCCTCCTCCTCCTCCTCCTCCTCCTCCTCCTCCTCCTCCTCCTCGAGGCGGGAGGCTGGGAAAAACTCGGGACGTTGACGCTTGGGAACCCCGAAATGGATAGCGTGCCGCGCCGACGCGTGGTGGGACAGAACCAAGCGGAGCGACCCGCCATCCAAAAATTCACCACCGAATCCTGGAGGCCTCTCGCGGCAACTTGATCGGATTTACATCGGATTCGCGTCGGGTTCACGTTGGATGCACGTTGGATGTATGAAGAAACTCCTGGAAGCCTCGCGCGGCAGTGCGACCGGATTTACATTGGACTCGCGCCCGGTCCATGTCATATCCACACTGGAGTTCTGGCGATGACCCTGCCCGTGACCTCCCCCTAACGTTGCCCGTGGCCTCCCCAGGCGTCCTGGAGCAGCTTCTCCCTGTCGTTCGCGGCGTCCCTTTCCTCGGCAGCCACGCTGCGGTTCTGCTCCGCCTGCGCAAGTCGGCGAGGGGCCGGAGGGCCGAGAAGGCGGGCAGGGCCTGTCCGGAGGAGGGAGCGGGAGGTGCTTCTTATTTCTCCGACTTCCCCTCCCCTCCTCCTGTTGCTGTTACTGTTGGCCTTGGGGTCCGTCCGATGCGACCATCCTCCTCCTCCTCCTCCTCCTCCTCATCATCATCATCAGCATCATCAACATCATCAGCATCATCAGCATCATCATCGTCATCATCATCATCATCATCATCATCATCATCATCATCATCATCATCATCATCACCGTCATCATCATCATCATCACCACCACCACCATCATCATCATCACCGTCATCAGCATCAGCATCAGCATCAGCATCAGCATCAGCATCATCATCATCATCATCATCATCATCATCATCGTCATCATCATCATCATCATCATCATCATCATCATCATCATCATCATCATCATCATCATCATCATCAGCAAATTGGCTCGAGGGTTTTGGGTGCCGCCGCGATCTTCAGCGGGCCCGCCCGTCTCTGGCGGCCTGGGCGGCAAGGAGCAGCGTGCGTCGACGAGTGCGCCTGGCGGGGGGCGCCAGGCTCCCCTCGGGCCGCCGCGGCTCCCCACCCGGGAGGATGGCGGCCCAGGGCAGCAAAGGCGGCGGCAGCCAGGCGGGCTGGGACGACGCGGGCGCGGAGGAAGCACGCGGCAGCGGACAGGGTGGCGGTGCTGCGGGCCCTCGTCGCGAGGCTGGAGGCCTTGGGCAGCCCTGGCAATGCCATGGTGTCGAACCTGGTGTCGCATCTGGCGCCCTACCGCAACGAGGTGGCCGAGCTGGACAAGGGCTGCGTGGCGACGCCGGAGCAAGTGCACGAGCGGAAGGAGGCCCTCGCCAACGCCGAGAGGGAGCTCGAGGCGGCGCTGGCCGAGCGCGCGCCGCCGTCGGCGCGGAGCGCGCCAAGGTCGCAGCGACGGAGCTCGCGACCAAGGCCGCGCCGCTTGCCGAGCGCGAGCGGCTCGTCCTGGACTACTTCGGCAACCTCCGAGCCGCGGCGGAGGGCCAGGCCCCACCTGAGGTCGCGGCCGTGGCGCAGCTCGTCGAGGGGCGGGGCGCGCAGGAGGCCGCCTCCGCAACCGCGGCGCCCTGGCCGAGCGGCGCAGGAGGCGGCGCCAGCACGGGGCCCTTCGAGGTCGTCTCCAGCCAGGGCGACGCGATGGGGCGATGGGGTCGGCCCTGGCTGCGGGCCCTGACGGCGATGGTGGCCGCCCTGCCACGGGCCTCAGCCGCGATGGGGGGCCGCGTCGTCATCGCCGCAGTGACAGCGGCGGTGCGCCAATGCCCCTGCGCCTCGACGCGCCGATCCCAGCGGGCGGCCCCGCGGCGCGCGCGGCGCCCGAGGGCGGCCCCGCGGGGGCAGGCCCGCGCGGGGAGGGCGGCCGCCGCGCAAAGTGGCCGCCCCGAGGGCGCGGCCCCGAGGCGGCCAGCCGGGCAGCGGCGCGCTCGCCCGCGGCGCGCGGATACATTCGAAATCATCACGGTCAACGGGTCTGGATGGGGCCCGCTCGCCCAGCCCTGGCAGGGGGAGGTAGCTGGCGCTGGGTTCGTGGAGAGCCGCCGCGCGAACGCGTGGCTCGCCCAGGAGACGCACCTCCACGCGCGCGACATCAGCGTCCAGGAGGCGCGGTGCAAGCGAGCGGGGGTGAATGCTGTCTTAGCGCCTGGCGCAGCTGGCAGCGGCGGCGCGGGAGGCGCCCGCGCGGCCTCGGGCGGCGTCTGCGCCGCTGTCCAGGCCTGGCCAACACCAGCGCGGCAAGCGGCGGCCGCGTGACCTGCGGCGACGGGCGCGGCATCGCCGCGGTGACGGACGCAGTCCGCCGCGGCGGCTCGGGAGCATCTACCTTGCCAGCGACACGGTGGGGGAGGCTTCGCAGCGGGCCCTCGCCGAGATCGGCGACGCGCTGGTGCCCAGGGCAGGCCGTGGGTCCTCGGCGGCGGTTTCAACGCAGCGCCCGACGTCCTCAGGGCGAAGGCGGGCTGGTGGCTGGAGGCGGTGCAGGGCGCGATCGTGCAGTCGGGCGAGGCCTGTTTCCAAACGACCGTGCCCGCCAACCCTGACTACTTCGTCGTGCACCGCAGCCAGGCGGAGTCCGCGAGGAACTGCAGTGCGGTCACCCATGGACCGTTCAGGCCCCACTGCGCCGTCCAGCTCGTGCTGAACGCGCGCATGGAGATCGCGCCCGCGCGGGTTCTGAGGCAGCCGAAGGCGTTCCCAAGGGACCTGCCCATCGGCCCGCGGCGCGAGGCCGCCCTTTCCGCTGCCGGACCTGCAGGCGCTGGCGGCCTCGGCGGCCCCCCCCCCAGCCGCGATGGAGGTGGCCCACCTCGGGGCCATGCACCAAGCCGAGGCAGAGCTCTGCTGCGCCTACCACATCGACGACGCGCTGGACGCGCAGGTACACTGCGGGCGCAGCCTGGAGCCCGGGGAACGCTGGGTGATCCCGACTTCCGACCACCCGCATATCTCGGGCGGTCCCAAATCGAGCGGGGAGGCACGGCACCTCCTCACAGCGGCCGACTACCTGGACGACGCAGCCGTGCAGCGGCACACGCAGCGGCGCACGCCCGCGCGGGCTGCCAGGTGCTGCGGCGCCCGCTGGGTAGCCGCGCCGGCGTCCATGGCCGTCGCGACCGCCGACGTCCTGGCGGTGCTGGCAGCCGAAGCCCGACGCGGAGCCGCCGCGCTGGCCGCATATCACAGCCGACGACGTCACGAGCCCTTCAACAAGTGAGTGCTGGAAGCGCTCGAGCACGGCGCAGGCGGGCTCCATGCGCGGCGGCACGGCCAGCGCGGATGGCAGGAGGACGAGCTGGACATGCTAGGCGCCCCGAGAGCGGGCCAGCGCGAGGTGGGCGCCATCGACAGGCACTGGGCGCACGAGGTCTGGAGCACGGCCGACGGCTCGGACGGGTGGCAGGACTTCGAGAGGCAAACGGACTCGGAGGCGCTGCCCAGGCCGACCGCAGACGAGTGGCTGGACGCTGCCGAGTCGTTCGCGAGGCGCACGGGCATGGGCATCGACCGCGTATCGCCCCGAGCCCTTGCCCAGGTGTCCGCGGCCACGGCCGAGCTCTTCGTGGACGTCGGCATGGCGGCCGAGAATTGGGGCGGCTGGCCGCTGGCAGCGCGGACGTCGCTCATCGTGATGCTGCCCAAGCCGACGGGCGGGTGGCGGCCTATCGGGCTGCTCTCCAGCATCCTGCAGATCTGGAACAAGCTCAGGCGGGCCGAGGCACGACGCTGGGAGGCCTCCCTCCGCGGCCTCGGCGCAGGCGCCTTCCGGGGCGGATCAGGGCGCTCGGCCCAGGAGTCCGCGTGGCACTAGACACTGGCCGCAGAGGCGGCAGGGGCACAGCAGCTCCACGGAGCAACGCTGCTGGTCGATCTCGAGAAGGCGTGCGAGACGGTGCGGCTGGCCCGCGCCGAGCGCCTGGCCAGCCGTGCTGGACTGCGCGGCCGACTGGCCCGCTGCGCCATGTCAACCTACCGCGGGCGCCGACGCATTCGGGTGGGCACCATCGTGGCCGAGGCGCGCGCGCTGGACGCGGGCCTGCTGGCTGGCTGCCCGCGCGCGGGGAGGGCCCTGAAGGCGGCGATGCCACCGGTGGCGATGGCGCACTCCGAGGAGTTTGGCGCCCGCAGCAGCGGCGAGCTGAAGTCCGACATGAACGTTTTCTACGACGACACGACCGTGGCCTGTTACGGGCGCGCCCCGCGGGCGATGGCGAAGCACCTGGTCGAGGAGGAGCTGACGTCACGGGATAATCCTTGGCCAATCCGAGGAAGAGAAGGAATAGGAGGAGGACAAGAGGGTAGGGAAAAGCATACTGCGAGGATGAGGAGGCTTGGGTACGGGGGAGAGGGGACGCGGACGGAGAAGGCTGGAAAGGGGGCGTGGCGGGGGAGGAGGACCGGCAGAAGAGAGCGAGGAGCATGAGCACGAGCAAGAGCAGGAGGCGAGAGCTCTGGGATGGGGCCTCCTTCTCCCGCCACTCGGCCTGCTCGGTGGCCCACATCTGCTGAGCCCGCCTGGCAGCCGCCGGGAGCGGGAGGCCGGGAGCCACTTTTGGAAGGACAAGGCAGGGAGCCTGCTTCTGACGCCCATCCTTGTCGCTGCTCCTGCTCTTCCTCTCCTCCTCCTCCTCCTCCTCCTCCTCCTCCTCCTCCTCCTCCTTGGTCGTCTTCGCGGTCCTCCGCCTCCTCCTCCTCCTCCTCCTCCCTCTTCCCTTCTCCCCCCTATGTCCTCACCAATCTGGTATCTGGCAGGCGTTGATTACAAACGGTGCTTGAGCCTGGCCAGCCCCTCGCAATCGTTGACGGTTGCTTGGGCATCGTCTCCTACACCTCCAGGTGGAACTCTCGGCTCTGGCTGCTGCCGGGGACGATATCGATAGCAAGCAGCAGCTACGAAAACCCTGATAAGGCCTCTGGCAACTGCTGGTCGACCCTGGGTACTCCAGATTTCGTAATTATCCCAGTGCGACCCTACCTAAGAGTTGGAGCCTCTAGGAAAGCAACATGAGTAGGAGCGGTAAACGCCGTCCTCCTCCTTCTCCTCATCGTCGTAGTTGTGGCAGTAGCAGTAGCAGTAGCAGTAGCAGTAGCGATAGTAGTAGTAGTAGTAGTAGTAGTAGTAGTAGTAGTAGTAGTAGTAGTAGTAGTAGTAGTAGTAGTAGTAGTAGTAGTAGTAGTTAGTAGTAGTAGTAGTAGTAGTAGTAGTAGTAGTAGTAGTAGTAGTAGTAGTAGTAGTAGTAGTAGTAGTAGTAGTAGTAGTAGTAGTAGTAGTAGTAGTAGTAGTAGTAGTAGTAGCGCCAGAACCGCCGACGCCACGCCGTAAGTGAAGCAGCAGCAGAAGCAGGCAGCAAGTCGCCGAGACAGCAGCAAAAGCAAGCAGGCACGGAGATGAGGGCGGGGCACTGGGGAGTTCTTTACATCTACATCTATATCTACACCTACATCTACATCGACACCTACATCTACATCTAGACCTACATCTACATCTACACCTACAGCTACATCTACACCTGCATCTACATCTACATCGACAGCGAGACTCACATCTACATCTACACACATCTACACCTACATCTACATCTACATCTACATCTACACCTACATCCACATCTACACATACACCTACATCTACATCTACATCTACACTTTCGCATTGGTTTTGTTTTTGCTTTGCATTGCCTTTGCGTTTGCTCTTGCCTTTGCTGTTGCCGTTGCCTTTGCTTTTGCTTTTGCTGTTGTGTTTGCTTTGCTTTTGTGTTTGCTTTTGCTTGGTTTCGCTTTTGCTTTGCCTGCGCACAGACGGACAACATGCATGGAACATACGTGCGCACACACACATACATAAGTACATATATATATATAGCAGCAGCAATAGTGGATGCTGTGCTGCGCTATGCTATGCTATGCTGCTCTGCTCTGCTCTGCTATGCTATGCTATGCTATGCTGCGCAATGCTATGCTGGGCTAGGCTAGGCTAGGCTAGGCTATGCTATGCTATGCTGCGCTATGTTATGCTGCGTTATGCTATGCTATGCTATGCTATGCTTTTGCTTTGCCTTCGCTTTTGCCTTCACTGTTGCCTTTGCTTTTGCTTTTGCTTGGCACCCAGGGAGCGCAACTGGGGGAACCACGCGTTTGCTTTTACCTTTGCTGTTGCTTTTGCTAGGCTCCCAGGGGACTGGGGGAACCGCCCGGGGCGGGTTGCACTGCCCGGCCCCTTTTAAGCTACAGAGTAAGAACCCTTCTAGGCAGAGCCTATGTAGGGGAAAAATGCGTGAGAACGATTTAAAAATCCGCCGGCCCCCTTGTGGGGCCACCAGGCTGTAGGCCCGTGATTCGCAGTTTCCTGTACCAGTTGCAGCTTGTAGTTTCCAGTGTTACAGTTCTGCTTATTGCTGGTTACCGTAACTAGTTGATTGACCGCGCGAGGGGGGGGAGGCCCAAACCTGCTTTTTAGCACCCCCTGGGCGCGTTGTCTGAATTGCTGGGGGGGCTCGAAATCGACACCCCTCACGCAGATCCGCGGGGTCAGGGTCCAAAAACACAAGGGATTTGCCACATTTCTGAAATTCGGTGCCACCCCTCACGCAGATCCGCGGGGTCAGGGTCCAAAAAACACATGGGATTTGCCACATTTTTCTCACGCAGATTCAGGGTCCATGCCACCGACGCCACCCCTCACGCAGATCCGCGGGGTCAGGGTCCAAAAACACAGGGGATTTGCCACATTTCTGAAATTCGGTGCCACCCCTCACGCAGATCCGCGGGGTCAGGGTCCAAAAACACATGGGATTTGCCACATTTCTGAAATTCGGTGCCACCCCTCACGCAGATCCGCGGGGTCAGGGTCCAAAAACACAGGGATTTGCCACATTTCTGAAATTCGGTGCCACCCCTCACGCAGATCCGCGGGTCAGGGTCCAAAAAACACGCAGATCATTTTGCCACATTTCTGAAATTCGGTGCCACCCTTCACGCACATCCATCGCAAGGCGTGGTAACCCAAACTGCGAGAACTCCCTCGGCCCTTTAATCGCAAGGTGTGGTAACCAAGCCCGTAAACCATACACGTCTTACCAATCGCCAGGTGTGGTAACCCCTCTTGTGATCAGTTGGTTTTGCTGATTGCGAATCGGCTTCGCATGAAGTTTCGATGCTGCTTCACGACAGCGCCAAGACCTCATGACTTAGCTCTTCCATGGCCCATTCTCCGAGAGAGGGGGCCGGCGGCAGGGGGCGACGCCCTTACGGATTATCCCAGTGCGACCCTACCTAGGAGTTGGAACCCCTAGGAAAGCAGCATTAGTAGTAACAGTAACACTAAGCTAAAGCTAAGCTAAAGCTAAGCTAAAGCTAAGCCGCAGCTAAGCTAAAGCTAAGCTAAAACTAAGCTAAAGCTAAACTAAAGCTAAGCTAAAGCTAAGCTAAAGCTAAGCTAACGCTAAGCTAAAGTTGAGCAACAGCTAAGCTAAAGCTAAGCTACAGCTAAGCTAAGGCTAAGCTAAAGCTAAGCTAAAGCTAAGCTAAAGCTAAGCTAAAGCTAAGCTAAAGCTAAGCTAAAGCTAAGCTAAATCTAAGCTACAGCTAAGCTAAAGCTAAGCTAAAACTAAGCTAAATCTAAGCTAACGCTAAGCTAAACGCTAAGCGAAAAGCTAAGCGAAACGCTAAGCTAACGCTAAGCTAAAGCTAAGCTAAAGCTAAGCTAAAGCTAAGCTAAAGCTAAAGCTAAAGCTAAAGCTAAAGCTAAAGCTCCCAGGGGACTGGGGGGAACCGCTCCCAGGGGACTGGGGGAACCGCCCGGGGCGTGTAGCACTGCCCGGCCCCTTTAAGCTAAGAGAGTAAGAACCCTTCTAGGCAGAGCCTAGGTAGGGAATAAAGGGAGGGGGGTCTCATTTCGGGGGGGGGTCTCTTCCAGGCTATCTTGGAGGGCCTGGGGGGTCTGGGGACGATGTTTTGGAGGGTTCTCCCACGGGGGAGGTCTGAAATGGCTTGTCTTGGAGGGTCCAGACCCCTCCCTTTTATTACGAAATCTGGAGTATCTTCTCCTACGCGCGCCTTGCGAGCGGAGAGCGTGTTGCTCCGCTCTGCGGGCAGGGAAGCTGGGAAAAGCTCGGAATGTTGACGCTTGGGGGCTGGTGCACGGTTCGCGTGTCGAGCCGAAACGTGGTGGGCCAGAACAGGCTGGCCTCGGAATTGCTGGGAAGCCTGCTTCTGGAGTCTCCTGGTCTCTGGCAACCGCTGGTGGCAATCATTAAATTTAGCGAGCGCGCTGCGGGAGCCTGTTGACTGCCTCTGGCATTATTTCGTGGCCAATTTGGAGATCATGTGCGTTTGTGCATGATCGCCATTTCGCTACCAGCAACACATCAGCCCTAGTCTCTTCTGCGCTGTCGTCTGTCGATTGGCTCTTGTACTTGCTGGTGGCGGTGGATCGTTCGATCAGAACTCATCCAGCGGAGATCTGGTCTCTAGCCCTCGTCGGTGCTGATGGTCATCTCCGATTCCCCACGCAGACGCCTGCTTAAGATATTGGTCGGCGCGTATGTGCGCAGACGTTTAGTGAGTGTCTTTGCGATTGGCGATGGCGCCTCGGCGGTCACCGACACGCTGCTTTGCAGAAGTTTGCTCATCTGGTAATCAATGATGAGAAGTATTGCCTCTGCTCTGTCACACACATAATTCAAAAAGGCAAGGGAGGCGAGGTCTTTACCTATACATCGATCCTGCTTGCACGTATGAATCTGCTGCTCTCCTAGGATTTATGGGCCATGTCATTGTTGCGCTTTCGCTGGCCGGCTCCTTTCGGGGAAAGGGAGATGGTTCAGGTTGTCAGCGCTCCCGACATAATCCTTTTGCCACGCCTTAGAGAAGCGATTACCCCAAGTGGGACGACGCCCTATCTCACTCCCGCCGACGCAAAAAAACGTACAATCGAAACATAGCCACGTGCCCCTCGCAGAAGGCTCAAGGGCCCATGCAAATACCCCAAGATCTCGTGCCACCTGTGCCACCTGTACTGGCCTTGATCGCACGCAGTTGTCAGACGATTCATGATGCAGCGGGCGCACGGGATACAACTGCCATGGCACAGCGGCCCAGTCACGCAGCACGCCTGAGAGGTGGCGATGGGCAGCAAGCGGGCCCGCAATTGACACACCGTCCTTTTCTCATGTGCTGGCAAAGCGCAACCTGGAATCCTGGAATCGCCGAGGCCCCCTTCTCCCACCCCTCGTCCTCCTTCGGTCCTCCTCCCCACTCCCCCCCTCATCATTACAAGTAGCTCCTCTTCATTGGGCCACCAGACGTGCTGGTAGGGCTGACAAGGGGGTTCGTCGGAGACCCCCTCACCACTCATGATCCGGAAGTTTGACATTTCCACCAACTGCGCGTATGGAAACGCACTTGCTTTCGAAACATGGCTCTGGAACTGACATCATGGACATCCGCTTCAAGAACTTCCAGCCAACACACGCACGGAACGATTTCAGGATGTGGCACTCGCCGTAACGACGGGC